CAAATCTGGGACATTTATCACCCAACAAGAATTGAATAATAATATTTTTGCAGGATTTATTTTTGTTTAGTTATAATCACATAATTTAAATAAAGAGAGGAAAAAACAATGTATATATTGAAAGAATTAAGTGGCATTTTTATGGAATTAATAGTGATACCAACTATTTATCAAGTCCTGAGCTAAGAGGTTATCAATATCACCACTGAATCTTTACAGTAACTAAGCAAAGAAAGATCATCCTCATTTTCCAAAGAAGGAAGTTGAAACTCAAACAATTTGAGGATTTGACCCCCAAATCCTGTAGCTGATTCATGACTGTCAAAGGTGAATCCTGGCCTACCCGGTTGTCACAGAGTAAGAAGGTCTGGGTAAAATTGATCTATAGCAATAATTTACAGACTTTGTCTAAGATCCTTTGATTGGTTAAATGGTTGGTTCATTCATTCATTCAACAAACTTATATTGAGCACTCACCTTACTTTAGAAAACGTCTAGAATCTTGAATTGACTCAAAAAACACCTCCTCTTCTGCAGGTTAGAGTTTATTTGAGTTCACCATTAACTATCCAAATTCAAATTTTATCAAAGTACTTGGTGGTGAAGATGCTAATACAGAGATTATAATGACTCTGAAAGAGTTCTTCCAAACTGTTGCATTCTCATTACCAGGAACAAATCACTAAGCATTTCTTTGTATACTCCTCAAAATTTTCTAAGCATATTACATATGTAGCTAATGTGTTTTATAATTTTAAAAATATGAAGAATATTCTACATTTAAAAAATCTAAATGGGCAAATAAATATTTTGTTAGGTTTTTGTGTTCTTATTTATTTTCTTTGCATGATCAGTTCACCCAACCACCACTGTCCTGGGGTAGGATATGTGGAGGACCCTGCCAGGCTGGGGAAACAGCTTCTGTTCCCTAAAATCCCTCTGTGCTCTGACAGATAACATTACTTGACCACAAAGCTTCTTTCTAGGAATGATTTTAATTCTTCTCAGCAAATTCATCCAATAATAGATGTTGACACAAGATGAACTATATCATTTGGAATTCAGTTTCTGCTCTCCAGAAGTGCACATTTTCAAAATGTACAAACAGAATTTACAGGAAAGTTAGACTTTCATCAGTGTGCTTAAAGAGAAAACAAAATAATAGTGGGCAGGAGAGTTCAGAAAAAGACCAAGATCAGTTTCAGACATTTAGATATTTGAGTATGCTGGTGTCAGAGGTAACATTTTCCATTACCATTGGTAATTTAAGTAACAAGTGACAGTGTAGTCTGGAAATGAAGATGGACAGAAAAGGGTGTAGATTTAAAACCTTGTTTATGGATTTTCCAACAAAAAATATCAAGTCTTTGATATTTTCAGGGTCTGAGATTTTCTGGTTTGAAATGGCTAGTAGACATCCTGAGTCTTCTTACTTATTTTCCTAGATATGGCTGGACTTTTACCACCTGAACTGAAGGCAGTGCCTACTGTATTAGCTGTGCTGTCTTCAGACAAAATAAAATGTAGTGTATTCACATCATGGGCACTTCCCTCACAAAGTGTCTTTGCAGGCATTGAGTGGCCTGCATTGAACTATACCCACTGTAACCAGTTTTGTCTTTGTTTGCTTGGTTTTGAAAGACAGAAAACTGTAATATACCTGTTTAGGAATAGGGACGCAATTTTATTTTTCATCTTGGAGCAGAGGAAAGCTGTCTCACTCATTCAATAAGCAAAGGTAAAATGTAGGGTAACTTCTTTTGTTAGACCTTAAATTTATTTAATATGCTAAAATTACAGTAACACTGAGATTTGGAATGACTTCATAACTTCATGATTATATATTCTATGTATCTATGGAGCAATAGAAGATCAAAGGCATCAACAATCCTGAGCATAAAAAGCTTAACTGTATGTCTACTTGTCTTTCACAGGGTGAAAGGGGATGAGCTATAACTTTGAAGGGCATTCTCTTTTTACCACCCTGTTTCCCATGGCTTCAACTAATCTTTGAAAATATGCATTTTTTTCCTTATACAATCATTTTACTTTACAACAACACTTTCAAACTGTTTTTTATTTTATTTTACTTTTTTACAAAGCATAAAGTTCTTTCCAAGGAGCTATAACTGGGTGGGTGGCTGTGGGATTTCCAACCTACACTTCCAACAGAGCAGTCCTGCTTTTATCTGTTTTATGTTAAGTAGTGATGTTCTGAATAAGTTTGTTTCTGAAAAAAAGATTCAAATTTTATATAATGAAAACTATTTCTTTAGAATTTCTAAAATGGTAAAAATGGGTTTGGGGCCATAGTGAAGACATGATGTAGGAGTCTACATGGTAGAACCTTCTTAGAGTTGGGTGGTACACAATCACACACTGGATAAATGACAGAACTTTGGGGAATAATTTCCCCCTAAAGTTTAAAACTGGAAGTCTTCTTTCTGAGGTGATTTATTTCCAAACATAATCTCTAATATCTTATCTGCCAATCCTGCTCTGTGACTTTATAATTTGAGATGCTTTATTCACTTGTGTTAGAAAGTTTATCCCTAATACTTCTGGGACAGCTCAAAACAGAATTTCTGAAAGAGCACTTCTATGCTCATAAAAATAGTATTATAAAAGAAAAAAACACTTGACAACATCTTTCATTAGATATAAAAATTGAGAAAATGATTAGTTTCATGGAAGAAACATCATTTTTAAGTAAAATGAAACAAAATATCATAGTGATTTTTTTTTTTGCAAGTTTAAAAAAACTACCTTTATTTTTTATTTCTTTTTCCATTACACACTTTTAAACAGGGATGTGTTTCATTATTCAGACATTCAGGCAATGTTGATTTCATTAGTGTTGACAGAAAAGCATAAAAATGCAAAACATTGTTGGCTTAACCTGAACATACCTGCATTACCTATTATTGACCAGTTTGTGTTGCCAAAAGACTCACTCCTTGGCATTAAAATGGAGCACTTAAAAATATTGCTAAAAAGCAAATGTCTACACACTGGTCTTTGCAGCAAATAAGGGTATTTATACTTTTAAAATATTTTAAGTCCATAATTGGATTAATATACACACCTTCTTATGTATAAGGAGTTCAGATCATATAAACACTGTACAGTCCAAAAAACCCTACTGAGAATAAAACTAAATAGGCTTATGATAAGAAATACAGATATCGCATGTATTTACAAATATTCATAGACACACAAATTTGGTCAAATACTGTAAAGAAAGAATGGTTTCACATTATAATGGCCAAAACATCCATCTACCTTGCTCAAAGCAAACAAAAATGAAAACTCAGTATGCAACTCCTGTAGTTGAAGACATCATAACAGCATACAGACAGACAGAATGCAAACTGTTGATCAAATTGCACAGCACGTTTTCTAGGCTGAGTGTAGGTCTCTAAAGTCACAAAAAAAGACCATTCATGAGATTCAGAGAAACAATGATAAACAACGTCCTGGTCTGTGGTGTTCATATGGGTGCCTAATTCATCAAAAATGTACTAAACATTTTGCTAATAAGAAAAATAAATTATAAAGTACAATTAAATACCTGTAAATGCAATAATAAAGTAAAAAATTGTGGATTTGTTTACTTTAATATACACTTTAAAATGTTACCTTGAGACAATAAAAATAAATAAGCATAGCTGGAGGCACACACTTACGACAAAGGGACTGCATGAAAGGAGTAAGTAACAATTTTATAAATGAAAGGAAAATATGAGATTTGATCAACACAATTCTTTCCAGCCAGTCTTTTTGTTTTAACCCTTCTTGAAAAATTCTGGCTAGGGGGATGTGACAAAAGTATACCTGCATCTTTATGGCTTAAAACAAAGCATACTTCAAAGGTGGAATGGACTTCCTTTTTTACAGAACTGTTACTTTGTTCATATGCAGCACTTAAAAAGACTATGAAGGCAAAGCACCTGACCCTTCTTCTCCAAAATAGTTTTTCAATCATGCTAAAGAGTATGAAAATTCCAGAGAATTAGCAAAGGTGACTACAAGACACTAATGTGCACAGAGGGCAATAGAGTGACCCAGTTTTTATTGCTGGGAGTCTTTTTTTTAATCAGACAAAAAGAATGAACAGACACCATTGCATGGCACATCCAAAGTTTTCTGCTTAGGGGAGAATGTAATCATTCAGCAGTAGGTTTCAGTGGGATCTCCTCAGGCTTTAGCCTTACACATTACAACGAGGTTCACATTTCTTTCTTTTCCTTAGTGTATTTTTTAAAAATTCCAACATACATCACTTCTCAAAGTATTCATTTCTTGCTATCTAACATACATTATTATCTGGAAGCATAAAGTTACATCATACAAATGTTTGCAATTCTAAAAAATAAGCACTTCTCCCACTTCTGCAACACTGTACTTCACATAGTGGTGCAACATAAGCAGAACTTGAATTTCCCACACTTCTTGTGATTCATTTTACCACCACCATCTGCCAAACCCATAGAGCTTTCTCCTCAGTACCTCTGGGCAGTGACTGTACCATGATTTCACAGAGAATGTTAATATGACTCATGAATGACAGTACCATCAGTAATACTGAAATCAATGCAGATGTCACAAAATATGAACTTCTCAAGAAATAAATGTTTGGCCAACTCTGTTTTCTCTGTTGCATTGTCCACTGGGAAGAAAACTCCTGTTTGAGTATGGTCTTACAGAAGATATACAAAATCAAATTAGGCATATAATTGGTTGACACTTAAAACTGTACTGCTTTCTCCAACAAGAGAAGAGCTTCTGAAAAACGTCCTTTAGAAATGTACTCATCACCACCACCCCATTGGTCCTTTCCATTCACTGATGGGCAAAGCACTCACATTTTGATAAAACTTTAAAGCTTCCATAAAAGTTAAATTAGAAAAAAATATGAATGTAAGACAACCACAAAATGAAGTATGAAAGCATGACATTTTTGTTTCCAAGAGTGAGTCCTTGAAAATATACGTGGTCACTACAGAGATGATTTTAATCCCAAGACAGCAGATGAACATGTAAGTAACTCCCCATGGTCTGTCTGTGTCCAGAGTCATTTGTGTCGTTGTATGGTTTTCCTTTTCCTTCGTTTGAAAAAACAGCAGCACTTGGTTTCATCCATCACTTCTACTTCTGTAGGGGCTGTGATGGGTGCATTTGAACGCCCTGCAGTAGGGTCATCTGTGTTTAACTCTCCATTTGTAGAACTTACAACCTGGTTTTTGGATTGCTGCATCTTATCTCTGTGTTGGTGTGCATCTCTGTTTGATGATAAAGCTGGATCTTGTTGAACTGCACCCACTGGAGTAGGCAACTGTTTACCAATCCAGTCATATTCATAATCAAACAGATATCCTTTTTGATCAAATAAGTCAGTAAAAATCTTCCTTAGATAATCATAGTCTGGCTTTTCAAAAAAATCTAGCCTTCTTACATAACGAAGATATGTTGCCATTTCTTCTGGAAAATTTTCACATAACACTTCTATTGGTGTAGCTCGTTTTGTATCTCCAATTTTCTGATACCTCTCTTTTAATGTGTCAGCCTTTAAGCCTTGCCAAGGAAGACTGCCTCTCAGAAAGTACATGAACATATGACCTAAAGCTTCTAAATCATCTCTTCTACTTTGTTCTTTTCCTAAATGTGTGTTAATGCTCATATATCTAGCTGTTCCTGTAAGGCTCTTGTGTTCTCTGTACGGTATATGTTTCTTTGTCTCTGGATCAATATATTCCTTTGCCAAACCAAAATCTATAATATGAATAACTTGCTGGGTTTTGTTGCCTGGTCGTCCTATTAAGAAGTTCTCAGGTTTTACATCTCTGTATATCAAGTTCTTTGAATGGACATATTCCATGCGAGAAATCAGCTGTATAGCAATCATGAGAACTGTTTTAAGAGAAAATGTTCTGTCACACAAGTCAAACAAGTCTTCCAAACTAGGTCCCAGCAGCTCCAGCACCATGGCATTGTATTTACCACAAGGACCAAAATAGTAAACTTGAGGTATACCATCTCCAGATCCTAACTGCTTATAGAATCTGTATTCCAAATGCAGCTGTGGTGCTCTGGATTTCATGGGCTCCAATTTAATTGCCACATATTCATTTGTGTATAAATTTTTCCCTAATCGTAATTCTCCAAAATTGCCACATCCAATTTTTTTTCCAACTCTAAAGTTAGGTCCAACCATTAAAACTCCAGATGAAGACCCAGTTCCTCGAGTGTTGTGCCCTGAACGACCACTAGGTCGTGCCATTCTATCATCTGATTTGTCCTTGTCTTTCTTTTTATTATCCATATCAAGTTTGCGGTACTCCACTTTGAATTCTTTAATCAAGACAAACAGACTGAAATAGGGTATTGTGAGAATAGGTACATCACTAGGTAACTGTACCAGATGGACAATGTTAACATCCAAAATTCAGTAGATAGTCCATTAACTGGAGCGTGTTCATCCCATTCGTAAAATTTTTCTCAGTTGGCTTTTCAGCAAAACATGCCTTCAAAATTATCTTCTTGGTAATGTAAGTTGATATAGATAGAGAGCGCCGCCGCTGGCCGGAGAGTCGCCGCCTGGGCCGCTGCTGTCCCCACCAATGCAGCCGGGAATGAATCATAGTGATTTTTTGGATGATCTTTTAGATGGTCCAAATAAATAATGATAATTTGAGAATAGAAAATTCTATTTTCTAAATCTACCTCCCCATCTTCACACTTTGTTTCTAGTATGAACTCTTGCTTATAAGTCAGGACTGGAACTAACCAGACCACATGTGAAAATTCTTGAGAGACTAAGAAGGTCAAATATATGTATTTTATACCAGTTTTTAATTAGCCCTATGGAGCTCCTATTTATTGTCATATATTTACTTGTATACTATTTATATTTCAAAAAAGTAATAGCCGAGATCTTATTAACTTATTTTTTTCTTAATGGCATAGGCTGTAGCAAGATGGGTTGAAAGAGTCCTGAGTTTATTTGAAAGAAATACTGTTGACCAAGGGAGCGGTTTTCTAAATTCCTCTGCTTGTTGAAGTGAAAGAGAGAAAACGGATATCACAGGACATCTGTAGTTATCTTGGACCTCTCAGGGAGAGCATTTTGAGTATTACCATCTTTATGTACTTCTGAAGCATTTTGATAGTGACAGTTTACCTGAATAGCCCAGTGGAGAACACCCTCTACAGTAATCTGTAGAAAACATGGAAACCTGGCAAGGTAGGCAAGCAATTGGTACTGTCAAGTAATTATGGAACATTTGGAAGCCCACAGGTAGTACTTCATCATAGCTGGCCAGAATCAAAGGATCATTAATTATTCTCTTCTCTGTTGTTTTCCTTTAACAAGCCATCTCAAATCTCATGGACAAACAGGGAAACGGTCTGGATAGTGTTCCCAGTTAGCCAAGGAGTCAGAACAAAAAGGAAAGTAGGTTCATGCGCTTTTCAGTACATTGAAGAACTTTGTAGTTATCTTAAATTCCAAACACTTGAAAGGATTGAGGCTAAAATAGAATAGCAATTGTCTCGAGGGTGAGGAGAGCAACCAAAATAGTCAAGACCTACTGCACTTGGCTCAGGGAAGTGGGACCAAGTCTATTTATACAACTGAGAGAGATGTGTTTCTTAACTGATATTTCTCAAGGGAAGGAAACAAAGTTACAAAGAGAAAGAATTTGCATCGGCCCTAGGCATGTTTAAGTTTGAACTCTGCACCATGATTTCAGCTTTCATTCACTTCAGGGGAGGAATTCACGTTTGTTATAAAGATGAATGAAATGTATACCAACTCTGAATTAATAATTGCTTTCACTTATGTATTCACTCTTCATTCATTCATTCTCTGAGGTGAGTGTTGTGTGAATTCAAAATGTAACAGATAAAGGACACATCGTGAACTTTCCTAATTAGCAACTTGGAGTTGAAAGTGAATATTTGGGAATGTGAAGAGTCCTTAAAATAGGTCAACTGTTATTTTTGGGTATATGTTGGTTAAAATGGGAAGCCATAGAGATCAGTTCATGGTAATATCTGGTATCTCATGACAGACATTCAATGGAACTTATTCACTGATTTAGGGTGGGGTATTGAGCAAGGTATATTTCATTCAGTTCCAACATTTGGAGGTACTTTTTTGTTTTCTGAAGTAGGATAGGAGACATGATTTTCATTATACCTTCAGCTTTTTATCACCTCATGCTTGAAACAAAGTTGAACAAGATTGGAAAGATATGATATTTATATTTTTTGACATATTACCTATAAAAACATCAACATCATCTCTAGTTGGGAGAGCATTCAGAATAAATGAACAAAGCAGTTTACAACATAGTGGTCAATCATAGGAGTGAAATGAAGCTTATGATAGATTTATACTATATATCTCATGGATATACTCACTTTTCCTTTTTTAACTTACACTTAATAAGTGATCTCCTAAATTATATAGACATTCTTTATATGATTCTTTCTTCTGTAGTAGTGAATATAAAGGATGATATTTTTATAACAAGACAAAGTTGAAAGATATGAACAAAGTAATAAAGGCATCATCTGGGTAGAGAAATGAAGTTGAATAACCAGAGCAAAAGAGCATGGTTGTTTGTAGATATGATAGAGGAGCCTGAGACTAGGAGGGTCTCAATTCGAGGCCAGCCTTGAAGGCCTCAATGAGACCCCCCATCTCAACCAATAGCTAGGTATAGTGGTTTGCATTTGTCATCTCAATCATGTGGGAACCAGTACCTCAGCATGGTGGCATGTGCCTGTCATCCTAGTTATGGGGGAGGCTGAGGTTGGCGAGATTATGGTTCTAGGCCAAAAATGTTGACAAGACCCCATCTCAACAGGAAAAAACTGAGCATTGTGGCATGTACCTGTCATCTCAGCTACAGTGGAAAGTGTAAAACAGAAGGGTTGTAGTCCTGGCTGATCTGAGAATAAAGCAAAACCCTATCTCCAAAATAACGAAAAAAAAAAAAAAAAAAAAGGAGGGAGAAGGGTGGTGCATCTAACAAGAATAAAGACTTAAGTTCAAACCCAGTACCAAAATAATAATAATAATAATAATAAAGAATCCTTTAATTAAACCAGAACAAATTAAGAAAACATAAATAGCAGATATAATGAAAGAAAAATAGTCCTGATTAAAAGAGACTCAAGTATTCACAACAAAAAAACTCTGAATTATAGTTGCAAGAAAAATGAAAAAAGAGGCCCCTGCCATGACATACTATAATAGTTTCATTTTTTTAATTAGGAGGAAAAAGAAAAACATCTTGAAGAGAAAACATCTAGGCAAAATTCCTACAAAGAAACAAGATCAGTTTGCTTTTATATCACCTCACAGTAAGAAATATCAAGGAAAAAAAGAACTATTTTGCTATAGGGCAAGGAGGAGAAAAGTTGTACCACAAAATATGCCAGCAAATTTAGGCATCAAGGAAAAAATCAAGTCATTGTTTTAGGTAATTTTCCCAGGGAAAATTCAGTAGCCAAAGAATAGGAGAATCTAAAGTAAAAACTTGAGAGACATAAAATAAATTATCTGGGCATTAATATCAACTAGAAATAAAAGTAAGGACTGGAGGTATAACTGATGCAGCAAAGCACCTTCTTTACAGGTGTGAAGCCCTGAGTTCAAACCCCAGTCCCACCAATCAATCAATAAAATAAAATAAAGTTGAATACCAAAAGCAGTCCTAGTAAATTGCTAAACATTCTAGATTACATTAATAAAAGGAATATAAGGAAATTGTAAACAAATTTAAATATATGCTATGTACTTAAATTTACATTCATGGAAACAGAAACTTGTTTCATATTTTATTTTTGAAATGAAAAATGCATACTTCAGAAGAACTTGAAAGTAGTCTCTCATAGAAAGTTTCTCTTAAAAAAACCTAACTATGCATACTTTAAAATCTTTAGATGATAATGTAAATAACTATAAACACACAAAATCCACAGTCCACATAACAAAAACCAAAATGTAAGAAAACGAAAAAAGGTAAATGTAAAGAAAAAAGAAAGCAAAGAAAATGAGACATGTCAAATGCTATATGAGTAAATAGTTTAAATTGCCATAATAAAAGTCAAAGAATTAACAGAATGTATTAGCCAAGGGCCTCCAAAGAAGCAAAACCTGTAAGATGTACAGCAAGATAGATGAGTTATGTGGGATTGGCTCAAATAATGATGGAGACTGAGATATCATCTACTGTCTGCAAGCTGGAAGTTCAGGATATTTGATGATGTAGTTTCAGTGAAAGTCCAAACAATTTCTGGCCTGTCAGAGGTTTCCAAGGGCCAGGAGCACCAGTGTTCTAAGCAGAAATAAGTAGATATTCCAGAAGAGAGAAAATTAATCATGCCCTTTTGCTCTACCCAGGACCTCAAGGGATAAATCTACCAATTCAAATGATAATATCTTCCAGAAACATCCTTAAAGATATACTCAGAAATATTGTTCTATTAGCTATCTAGTCCTCCCTTACCCAGGCAAGTAGACACAAAGCTAACCATACACTGGATAAAAAAAATCAACTCCAGCCACAGAGTATTTTACTTATGTGGTTAGCTACTTTCTGTCTGGAGAAAAATACTTTTATGAATGTGACCAAGAATATTTCTGTATTTAGAACTCTTCATTCTGAGGAGTAAGTAGGTTGGAAACAAGAGTCTTGTTTTCTTTGTAAGAATACTTGGGATAATATTTATTTCCTCACTATATTTTTAAAGCAAGGTAATTTCAGATGCTTTGGGTAGGAAGGAGCCTAGAAATGCTAAAACACATGACTTACTTCATTTGGGGGATTTTTATATTTTTACAATATGCATTGTAAGTCATTATAAGTGCATAAGAATTTTCATACTTACATACAAACACATACCCACAATGCACTGGGCATCTCAATGTTAATAAGAAAAACACCAAATATTTCCCAGAATCTTCTTTTGCCTCACATTCATTCTCTTTAAAAGCTACTCCTCTTAATTTAAACATTTAAACAGTCTAAAGAAACTTTGACAGCTTTGCAAGCAATTTCTCTATAGAGACACAAATAACATGTTTTTTCCTACTTATTTCTGCTTTTTAATATGAACAAATGATTAAAAACAAAGCTTTTATCAACAGAGAGATACTGAAACCCAGAGTAAACAAGAAGAAGCGTTAATTACCTTTTTAAAAAGAGTTTGTGGGTGAGATAATACATACAGAAATAGGTACATTTTAAGTAGAATTATGGCTAGTAGTCTAGACCAACAGAGGTAGCATTCTTGCCAAATAAGTGAATTTTAGTTCTAAACATTGCACCAGATTACCCGGACAGGTGTGGTGAACCATTAATTTCATCCTTAGGTGGCTTAAAAGACAAAGAGTCAGAAAGGAAAAATAGAATAAGCAATGAAGGACTAAGACTTTTGGTCCTCAGGACAAAACAACTCTTTGACCATTTAATTTTCCAGACCAACAGAGAGTGTTCTAGGGCTTTTGAAAGGAAATTCTTAA